TCCCAGGGAACAGCACGTTGAGCCCAGAATCCTGAATCATGGAGCTGCTCGGGACAAAGCTTGTCAGAAGAGATTACATCTTTGCAACACTGCATCCAGACAGGTGTAGCATTTAGTGTTTCTATCCCATTTCAGATGCAAGTACTTCACAGAATCATAGGGTGATATAGCAGGGAGCATTCGGTCCATTCAGTTTCTCCTTTAGGTAGAGCTAGTTTTTTTTTCAAAGTTCTTTTAAGTGAGGTAGGTGTCACTGGTAACGCCAGCATTTGTTAACCATCCCCAATTACCCTTGAATGAAGTGCCTTGCTGGACTATTTCAGCAGGCAGTTAAGAGTTAAGCACATTGCTGTGGGTCTGGAGTCACATATTGACCAGACCAGTTAAAGATGTCACATTTCCTTCCCAAAAGAGAAGCTGATGTTCTAGTGCTGTTATTGCTGGACTGTTATTCCAGATCTGGGGACCAGGGTTCAAATCATGCCATAGCAGAGATGGAACTTGAATTCAATAAAAAAAAATCTGGAATTCAGCATTAATAATGCCTATGGATCCATTGCTGATTGTCGGGGTAAAAAACCATCTGGTTCACTAATGTCCTTTAGGGAAGGAAACTGTCATCCTTACCTGGTCTGGTCTACATGCGACTACACACCCACAGCAATGTGGTTGATTCTTAACTGTCCGTTGAGCAATTAGGGATGGGCATTAAATGCTGTACTAGTCAGTGACACCCACATCTATGAATGGATAAACAAAATGGGACATAATGAACCAGATGGAGTTTAGAACAATTGTTAGTAGCTTCAGTGCATCATCTCTGAGTCTAGCTATCACTTCTACATTAAACTGAAGTAAATTCCACCAACTGCCATGGAGGGATTTGAACAATGTCCTCAGAGCATTAGTTTGGGCCTCTGGATTACTATGCCATTGACATCACCCCATATCACTATCTCCTTCAATTTATGGCACTCTTATTGCTCTTGCCCCATAGCCCAATGCATTATGTAAAAATGAGTTCTTCCCATATCACAGTGACCACATTTCAGACTGATTTGCATGCTGTCCAGCAATTTGGAACAGCATGAGGCTGTGACAGTGGCAATATAAATGCCGCATCTTTCCTTCTTAACCTCTAACAGAGAGTGGAATTGAGAGATCAGGCCGGCAACAATTTTATCGTTCAATATCTCAATTGGATTTAGAATTTAATTGGTTGGTAATGGGTTTAAGGACAATCCAGACTGGAAGGTCAGACTGAGACACATTAGCAACTCAAAACTTCAGTCAATATTGAATCCTTTCTACAAAAAAATCTTAAAAGCAGGAAACATTGCATTTGTATTACAATTAGACACATTGTGTTGTTGTCCATCATGTTTCTTATGTTTCAACAGTAATTAAAATGAAACATCAGTGACTGAGAAATACTTCGGGACATTCTGAAGGTTGTGAAAGGTGTTATATGAATGCGGCTTGCTGTTGTTATCTTCACAGATGCTGATTGAGCTGTTTTTTTGAAAAAGAAATACAATTGAGATATCTTTAATTTTCAGATTCATCTCATGACCAGGTATTTTAACAGTGTGGATTGAATCAATATTCACATCAATTCTTTTCAATTAACCCAGAATGCAGTTTGAAAAGACTTCATAGTCTGGTTGACCACCGCAGTATTTTCTTCTCAGTCATAAAGATGTACTGCATGGAAACTGACCCTTTGGTCCAACTTGTCCACGCCAACCAGATATCCTAAATTAATCTACTTTCATTTGCCAGCATTTGGCCTATATCCCTCTAAATCCTCCCTGTTCATGTACCTATCCAAATGCCCTTTAAATCTTGTAATTGTACCAGGCTCCACCACTTCCTCTGGTAGTTCGTTCCATACATGCACCACCTTCTGCATGAAAAAGTTGCCCCATAGGTCCCTTTTAAATCTTTCCCCTCTCACCTTAAGTCTATGCCGTCTAGTTCTGGACTCCCCTACTCTGGGGAAAAGACCTTGACTATTCACCCTATCCATGCCCTTCATGATTTTATAAACTTTTATAAGGTCACTCCTCAGCGTCCAACGCTTCAGGGAAAATAGCCCCAGCGTATTTAGTGTCATCTATAGCTCAAACCCTCCCACCCTGGCAACATCCTTGGAAATCTTTTCTGAACTCTTTCAAGTTTCACGAGATCTTTCCTATAGCAGAGACCAGAATTGATTGCAGTATTCCAAAAATGGCCTAACCAATGTGTCCTATATAGTCATCCAAACCAAAACCTTCCGATGTCCATCAGTCCCAAATAATGGAAGTGTCCGATGCTAGCTCAATCCTGAAGCCACATGTGCAGAGTCAAACAAAATGGCCTGGTGATGACCCAAATGATGAACGATTAATTGGCTGTTCATCTTGCCTGGATTGTCAAGTTACCGCAAAAAGATTTGCATTGGCTTTTGAGCTGTTGGCTTTGTGCACTGGACTTGACTTTGCTGCCAATCTAAACTGCACCCAACCCGATTTGTGTTGAGCTATTACGGAAGGGTGTTCCCTCAAACCGATAAATTCTGGTCTAAATTTGGACCAAGGCTCCAGAAGAGAAGTTATTGGCCCCAAACTTGTCCCCACTTGGAATGACCATAGTACATTTTGCAAACAATACCACACTTGTAAAAAAAAAGTACAACCTTCACTCATCCCTTCATACATGCAAATCTTTTCGTAATTCCTCAGGAAACAGGTTGTCAGCAATGAAAGACTTGTCAAACACTCAGTAAAAGATAAACATTTCCACAGAGATAACACATTTTCATTTACACCCCTTAATTCTCTTTCTGCTGTTCATCTGGAATTTTCCAGAGACAAAGACAATCCCAAGAGTGCAATGCACACAGCCCTCTCAGCCCAACCCCCTCAACGAATGCAAGCTGCTTTCAATCAACAGGGGTCTGTTTACGGTCTGCTATCTTAAAGTCATTCTTAATTGGCCAAAGAGGCCCAGCATTCGGCAAGGGTTTGAGATTAAAACTGCAGTTCTCTCAAAGTGAAACTATATGGAATAACTACAGCACTGAAAGAGACCATTTGACCCATTTGGACCATACTGGCATTTATTGATTCACACTGACTTTGTTACACCCAGTGAGGGGGTCCATCAATTTTGCCATCTCAAGGGAAATACTCAGCACATCAACACATCGTGGGGTTCATGGTGGTCCTTTGAAAGGTGCAAAACCACACAATACCCATGTTTCAGTTCAGCGACATTGGAGCAGGGCAAAATGTAAAACAAAAGGTGTTGCAAATACTCAAACAGGTCGGACAGGACATGTAAAGAGAGAACTAGAGTTTCTAGTTGTGACCTTTTATCACAGAAACAGCATGAACCTCTCAAGCCTGCACTACTATTCATTTGATTGTGGCTACTCTGCCTCTTCACTCCATCTGTTCCCCTTTGCTCCATTACACTTTAACGTCCCTATCTACTAAAGAAACCTATCACTGCAGTTTTGAAAGTTTCTGATTTCTTTTCCCCAGCCTAAACAGCTTGCCAATGCCCATTGTGTGAGGAAGTCCTTCACAGCAATAACTTGGCTTTAAATTTAGGATTGTGTTCTCTCGTTCTGGGCTCCACCATCAGAGGAAATAGCATTTGCTGTATCTCTTTAATCACTTTACAAATCTCTGTTAAATCACCTTTTGATCTGCCACACTCAAAGCTAATCTAGGCAAACTGGCCCTCATAATGTAATCCCCCCCCAACCTCCCAGGCAGCATGGTGACACTGCTGCCTCACAGCGCCAGGGACCTAGGTTTGATTCCACCCTTGGGTGACTATCTATGTGGAGTTTGCACATTCTGTCCATGTCTGCGTGGGTTTCCTCTGGTGCTCCGGTTTCCTCCCACAGTCCAAAGATGTGCAGGTTTGGTGGATTGGCCATGCTAAATTGCCCGTAGTGTTCAGGGATGTGTAGATTAGGGGGATGGGTCTGGGTGGGATGCTCTGAGGGCCCGTGTGGATTTGTTGGGCTGAAGGGCCTGTTTCCACATTGTAGGGATTCTATGATCTGATCTAAAACCTTGAGGTGAGTTGTGAGTCCTTAAGCATCTTACCCATTGATGAGGGTCTTCCCAAATACAGCAAACTTTGTTTTAACCGACATCTTGGGAACTGGTAGTCTCGATGAACCAGCACAAAAACATATCTCTGAAACACTGGAAGTTTACTGTATTATCTCGATCTCCGAAAGTAAGTTGAGGGTGCAAGTGAGAAGGCTCTCTGCCTGTAAGATTTATTTAAAGCAAAGTTGCATTGCTTTTAAGTGATAGATGCTGTAAATAAAGTATAACAGTGATGTGTATTCCTCCTGGGCATTACGTTTCTATCATTTAGTGTGTTTTTACATTCATTAAAAACCGAAAGAACTGTGGATGCTGGAAATCAGAAACAAAAACAGAAATTGCTGGAAAAGCTCAGCAGGTCTGGCAGGATCTGTGAAGGAGAAAACAGAGTTAACGTTTCAGTTCTGAGGAAGGGTCACCGGACCCGAAACGTTAACTTTGATTTCTCTTCACAGATGCTGCCAGACCTGCTGAGTTTTTCCAGCAATTTCTGTTTTTGTTTCTGATTTACAGCATCCGCAGTTCTTTTGGTTTTTATCTAGTATTTAACTCACCACATCCCTTCTCGGCAAGTCCAGCTTGAAAACGTTCTGCTCCTCTCTCCTTTACATTGATTATGTGGACCTCTTGATCAACCAGAATGTTTGATCAATTGGTACACTCCTGCTCCCATAGATGCCAGATAATAAAACATTTGCTGTAAATCAAACTGGAAATGAGCTATCCGGAAGTGGCTGGTTACTAGAAATTTCTACCTCAATGGGATTCAAGATCATTCGACAGGAGTGGGGTTTTGGTGGGGAGGAGGAGGGAGAAGTTCCAGTTGAGGTTAAGTTGCTATTTGCTGTCTGTAATGATTTTTTTGTGTGTTTTATGTTGTTCCAGTGAGGACAGCTACAGTGTGACTGATTACGCCATGACAGACCAGCTCCAGGTGGAACCCTGTGACGCTGAAGAACTGAACCTGTCTCCTATAAAGACTGCTTCTGGCATGTTATATTCCCGGCAGAGCTCCATCAACCACCTCTTTCGGCTCACCATGCTCAGTAACCATGCCGGAGAGAAGGTGGTGATGGTGTTTGGAGCAGAGTCACCGTAAGTAAATCCCTTCCGGGTTTTTGTTTGCAAATTTCCCCATCCTGGTTTTCAGGTCCCTTTGTGACCATGCCCACTCCCACCTCCATCAGCTGAATGGCTTTAAGAGGCTTTCCATTAAACCTTGTTGACCGAGCATTTGGTCCTTTTTTTTAATATTATTCATTCACGGGATGTGGGGTTTGCTGACTGGGCGAGCATTTATTGTTAACTGAGTGGTTACCCAGACCATTTCAGAGGGCAGTTGTCAACCTCATTGCTGTGGGTCTGGAATCACATGTAGATCAGACCAGGTAAGGACAACAGATTAACTTCCCTAAAATACACTAATGAACAGATGGGTTTTTATGACAATCAACACAGAGTTGTGAATCGGCTAAATTTCTGCTTAAAGATGTTTTTTTTTAATCAAATTGTCCCAAAGTCCCCAGAAATTAGCCTGGACTTCTGTGTTACTAGACCAGTGTCATTACCACACTCTATTACCTCCCAGAAATAATAATGTCAGAATATTTCCTCAATTGGCTTAGCCTCGATAGTGTTTCGTTGAACACTCTGGGGATGTTTTACTGTGATAAAGATGCTGTTACAATAAAAGTTGCAGTGCAGGACAGCACTGTATAGAGGGACAGAAAATGATACTGCGGATGGGCCCACTCACCCTGTGCAAGTATGTTTCCTTGTCAATGATGGCCACCAATTCTGTCACAGAAATGTGGGGCTGGTTCATTGGAACAAGCTATAAGACAGACTCACAATGCCTCTTCCCAGTGAAGGATAGATGGGGCCTAGATATTTCTGGCTGTAACTGAATAAATTTCCAAGGATCCCTGGCACATTCCTTTAAGACTCAGAACCCTCAGTCAACAGGGTTTCTGCTAGGACCTGATAAGGTCATAATTTTGGAATGGCAACTTCTTTCCGTCTCCTCCAGAACACTCACATAGGAAAGTGGTTAGAAGTCTACCTTTGGTCTTTCCACCTCACTAACCTGGATGCTGTCATAAAATGAAAGAATGGCAGGGTAAAGAAGATACAGATTTACACTAATTGGCAAAATAAACCAATTTGAAGGTGAGGAAACAGTTTCTTTTACAGTGAGGGTCCATCCTCTAGAATGCAATCCCTGAAAGGAGTGATGGAAACAAATCAATTGTCAACATTTCCTGAAAATGAATGATAATTGAAAAGGAGGTATTTACAGCCCAATGATGAAAGAGCAGCAGAGACAGACTGATGGATAGCTCTCTCAAAGAGCCAGAACGGGCCTGATGGGCTGAATAGTCTAGTTATAAAATGATTCTATCCTATAATCCATAGGCCATCTAACAGAGAGGGGATGTACTGTTGAGAGTTATCAGGTACTTCTATAATGCCAAATAGCTCCTCTCAGAGTATGAGCAGAATCAATTTAAGTTCAGCAAAAACGTTGCATTTGGAGGATCAAATCCATTCGGGATGACTTTACTTCCATATTTTGGGGGTTACACAATAAGCTGTCATTTAAAAAAAAATGAGCAAGCCTGTGTGTCTAAAATCCATCATCAAACATCTGTGTCCCCTTATAGAATGAACATTGACAGTTTTTGGGCAGAGGGCAAAGGAATCAGCTGTTACTGAGTTCAACAGTTTGTGAGCAGTGCAGGTACTGTTGCTACAATGTACATATAGGCTAAAGACACCAACAAATCCAGGAGTGGAAGATAAAGGAATCAAAAGCCAGACTGGGCCACACTCTGGGTTAAGTTTACCTGCCAGCAACATGGGATTCCTATTCAGAAGGGGAATAAGTCCAGTGTATGACGTAGCACCTTTGACATGGGACATCATCGCATGATATTTTGCAAGTAACATTCTTAAACCAGACCTGGTACCCAGCCACATAAAGTGATGTTAGGCCGCATGACTAAAGGCTTGGTCAAAGAGGTAGATTTTAAGAGAGGGAGATCGATGGGATGTGTATATAGACAGGACTCCACAGCCTTAGGGGCTCAGGTAGCTGAGGACATGGCCACCACTGGTAGGACAATTAAACTGCGGAATAGCTGAGACCCCAGAATTGGAGGAGCACAAAGGTATCAGAGGGTGATCGGTCTGGAGGAGGTGATAGAGATTAGGAGATCAAGTGTCGCAATGGGTCAGGTGTCCATTGTATCTCTTTCAGAGGACCACATTCCCAATTTCTGAAGAACAGCAGGTGTAGGGGAATATTGCTGCTTCATTGATACATACACTGTCCCAACACAGGCACATCTCTGCAGTTCTGAGGAAGGGTCACTGGACCCAAAACATTAACTCTGATTTCTGTCCTCAGGTGCTGCCGGACCTGCTGAGCTTTTCCAACAATTTCTGTTTTTGTTCCTGATTTCCAGCATCCGCAGTTCTTTTGGTTTTTATACAGGCACAAATCGGGTTGTTCCTTGGGTTGAAAGCTTGCAAACTCCCACCCAACACCATAATTGGAGTTCCATCACCACACTGAGTGCTGATAGGATAAAACAAGGGAGAATGAGAAGAAGCTAGGACAGGAGTCTAGACATTAGGAGAGGCTTGTTGGATTGTAAAGTCTATTTGTTGTAAAATTCTAGACAATGGAAGGTCACCTTCTCAAGAGCAGTTCAGAATAGGCCGCAAATGTTGGCTTTGCCAGCAACACCTATTTCCTGAAAATGAATGATAAACATTAAGTTTTTTTCATTTATTTTACATGGCAATAAATAAGGGGGTTTATGACAATGGAAAGGATCTGGTGATCCTGATCAGCCTTTTGAATTTCCCTGAATTCTTGGCCACATCTTGTATTTTCAATGCCACCTTGATCTCCATTTCATGGCATCTCATGTTCGGAGGACCCTTCTGGCCTGTCTCAGTCTATCTCACAGCCCCGGGTGTAACAGATATGAGCAGTCTGCAAACAAGTTTAGGACTTGGGGTCCCTGCCTGGGATTATCTGTTCTATTGCTTTAGGAGCAGACTCTGAGCAGGAGCATAACAATAATGCTGTCTTCAGCTGCCACAAGGCTGCAATTCTTATCATTTCAACAGCACAGGAAATGAACATTTTGTTGTGGATTTTCCCAGTTTCCTAAGGGCAGCCAATTGCTGGCTTGGACAGTGGACTTCAAAACCCAACAATATCCAACTGTTTGATGCAGAGCAATGGAAATGAAGACTTCCCGTTTAATTTCCTTTCCTAGAGGACAGGGAGACTCATTGACACATAAGAGAAAAACCTTTCGTGTTTAATCAGTTGTTCAAATGGTTCATTTATGAAGCAATGAAGGGTTGAATTCAGACTATGCCCTTAGGGTGAAATTTGGTCTTGTGATATTTGTAATGAAGCTGTGAGCATGTTTGAATGAAGTTCCCCTTTACTGTAATAGCTTTGTTAAACAGGACACAGATCAATTTTCCAAGTCTTTATCGCTCATGTCGAGCAGTACAACTGCAATCCATTCAAAACTGGCTTTCGCTGTAATCTAACTGGTGGCCAATCGAAGAACTATGCTACACTTAGTAAGTGCAAACTTGAAGTTTTCTCATTGAGAAACTGTTAGTTTGAAAGTGCTTAATGTAGTTGTTTTCCAGTAAGAGTGCTCCAAGTATTAACTGATCAGGCCAAAAATAGTTAGCACTCAAAGAGGTCATTATTGGAGGTCCCTCGCAGACAAATATGACTTTCTTCCTCTCCCAGGGTAAGTTCATAGGTGGTTGTACAGACCAATGCAGCTACCACAGGCTCTGTTACACTTAGGGCTGAAGGTGGTCATGGGAAGGGGTGTGTGGGGCATTGGTATGGCAGTGTACTCCTTTCACTGTTTTCACCCAGCTTCTGCTTTTTCCCAACAACAAATCTCGAGGTGTTCACTCGCCCTCCTCCACTTTGGACGGTCTTGGGCCAGTGATTCCCAGGTGTCTGTGGGAATGCCGCACTCCCCCAGTGAGGCCTTGAGGGTATCACTGAAACGTTTCCTCTGTCCACCTGGGGCTCGCCTGCCGTTTCGAAGCTGGAAGTAGAGCACCTGCTTGGGGACTCGGTCATGTGGACAACGTGCCCAGCCCATCGTAGCCTATCAAGGGTGGTCAGTGCCTCGATACTGGGGATTTTGGCCTGGTCAGGAACGTTGGTGTTGGTGCATCTGTCTTCCCAGCGGGTTTGCAAAATCTTGCACAGACAGCGCTGGTGGTACCACTTCAGTGCCTTGAGGTGTCTGCTGTAGTCAGTCCATGATCCAGAGCCATATAGGTGGGCAGGAACCAGAACAGTTCTGGTGTTGGATCCGATATTATCGTCCTCAAACACCCATTTCCTCAGGCGGCCACTGGAGGCGAAGCTGGATCTCTTCATCATTAGCTGCGTTGGACCCCAGGATACTCCCGATGTATCGGAAGTGGCCAACGTTGTGTAAGGCCTCCCGTGGACCTTGTTAATTGGGGGTTTGCTCCGCAATGCCGGGCCAGGTTATTGGAGGATCTTCTTCATCTTGCAGATGTTTGAGGTGAGACCTATGCTCTCATAAGCCTCCATAAAGGTGCTGACAATGGTGTGGAGTTCATCCTCTGAGTTTGCATGCACGCAAGCATCATCCGTGTACTGTGCTCGATGACTGTGGATGGGGTGACATTGGTTTTGGCTTGAAGGCGATGTAGGTTGAAAGGAGGTCCCTCCCTCATACTCTACTTGGCCTCTCTGGCTCATACCCGAAGAGGTGTGAACAGGGGCTCCCCTGAAATTGATCATCAGTGGTGTAGTGGACAGCGAAGGTTACATCAGAGAACAACGGGACATTGATCAGATGGGCCGATGGGCTGAGGAGTGGCAGATGGAGTTTAACTTAGATAAATGTGTGGTGCTGCACTTTGGAAAGACAAATCAGGGCAGGACTTATACACTTAATGGTAGGGTCTTGGGGAGTGTTGCTGAACAAAGAGACCTTGGAATACAGCTTCATAGTTCCTTGAAAGTGGAGCTGCAGGTAGATAGGATAGTGAAGAAGGCA